AAAGAGTTGGGAAGGGTTTTGCAGCAGATGCACAGGGGAACAGCAGTGTGGGAACATTTTCAGAGCCATCCATCTGTTCTGAATACCCCCTTGGTCCGATATAGGGTCCAGCACAGGGGGGCGGTCAGCTGCAGCCTACCCTGGCAGACGATGGGCACAAGGCAGAATATCCCCTAGACGGGGCACGCACAGACACACAGGGGGCAATTTAGAGATGCCAATCTACCTACACAGCATGTCTTACCCACGCAGAGAACATGCAAAACTCACAGCTTCTGTATCAGGCCCTTAACCATGCTGTATTGAGAGCACCGGGCTACAGCTTCTCTATGCAGAGCCGAGATTAGCCAAGACTTCGTTGAAGGAGTCTCTCAGAGAGCTCTGGTAATGCATTTAGTGTTTTTCTCTAACCTGGTTCACTTCAATTGACACCAAAGTAAGACAAGCATCTCTCCTGCCTCTTGCAGGAACATTGCTGGTGAAGCACCACTGGTCTGGACTCTGGCTCTGCGTCTCGGTCTCTCCACCCAGGGGGAACGTGTGATGGGCTACCCTAATAGTTAACTGATCCCAGGATCTGAGACGGCTGTATCTTGAAAGAAACCAGGGTATCGGCTACAACAACACGGCTCGGCAAATTGTTCCACACTCCCACCATCCTTGGTGTAAAGTGCCTGGCCTGCTCTCACAGTGCACAAGGGAGGGACGGGCTGGGGGGAGGTGGTGTGGGGGTACCCGAGCGTGACCGGCTGGAGTGTAGAAGTATTGGGGTCACCTGAGATAGTCAGGCTGGAAGCGCAGCAGTGTGGGGGAGTTTGGGGGTGCTGCAGCGTGAGGATCACTTGAGAGAGACAGGTTGGGGCGCAGCAGTGTAGGTGCAGGAGTGTGGGGTAATTTGGGGCACAACAGTGTGGAGGTTACTTGAGAGAGACAGGTTGGGACGCAGCAGTGTGGGGGAGTTTGGGGCGCAGCAGTGTGGGGGTACCTGAGTTCGACCGGCTGGCTCTTGAGCTGGTAGAAGGTCTCTGCGCTGGAAGCGACGATGTTCTCGACGTCGATGTCGGCGACGATCCCGGACTCGGGCAGGAGAGAATCCAAGCTGAGGGGGAAGAGGAGAGGGAAAACCCATTTACAAACCCCCACGGAAGGCAGAAGGGACATCCGCCGCTCAAGCGTCCTCCTGGGACGAGCAGCAGGTGAAGAAGAACCTGCAAACCACAACCAACACCATCTGAAGCAACCAGGACCCTGCAGGGAGACCGACACCACTGGAGCAACACCGGGGAGCTGATGGAGCCAGCCAGCATGAGGAACCGCAATGAAGAACAAAATTCATCAGGATTTGCTTTACTCTTAATTTATTTGGCCGATACTTTTATCCAAAAATAAAACTGCAGTTTCATAACGGGTTGTTTTCGCCGGGCGAGCCCGAGTGAACCGTCTCGCGCAAGAGGACAACAGCAGAGTCCCTAGCCAGGATTTGAACCCACAACCTTCCAGTCACCAGCCCACAGCCCTGTCTACTCCTCCACACCACACTACTGGTAAGGCACCTCCAATGCCAGCTGTACAGCAGCACAAACCCCACAGTGTGGGAAAAGACCCTTCTGGACTGGAGACTGAGGCTCTGCAGCTGCACAGGCTGCGGTCATCTCCTCTGGGCAGCAGCAGCTGCTGGCTGATCTGCCTCGTTTGTGTCGGAGGAGGAGAAGTGCCCAGAACCGGGGCGGAGAAGGTTCCAGGCGGACTTTTCTCTGGCTGGGTTTCTCCCTGTGTGTCGCCCGACACCGCGGCGCTCCGGAATCTGCACAGGAAAGGCACCGAGTGGCAGGGAACCCTCCTCGCGCTGCTGGTCTTGGGTTTCCCACAGCCCGGCTGCGCACAGAACCGGCTGGACTTGCTCAAAGGCTGCGTTTTCCTGGAATTCGCTCCGACTCCGCGGAATATACCATCTGTCTACAGAGCAGGTACAGTATGTGCAGTGGGACTGTTCAGATATCCCATCAGTCTACAGAGCAGGTACAGCACAGGCAGTGGGACTGTTCAGATATCCCATCAGTCTACAGAGCAGG